AATACAAGACTGGATTCAGCTAAGTGGAAGGTTGAAAGAAACTTCAAGATACAGTATCTACCGTATACGGTATATATACCTACAACAAATGAAAAAAACTGAATCTCATGTGAATCAGATAGCCACCTAAGTCCTAAAAAAAGCGAGAATGGAACACCAAAAGAGTTCATTTTTCGATTTTCACCCCGTGCGTCCATTTACACACATCCAAAATCGAGAGCGGATTTCCGTGCGCTTTGAGTCAAACTAGGTCACGCTCGTGATTTTCAAAACTTTTAGGCATAAAACAGTCGAGACAACGAGCTTCCGGAGAGAGACCGATTTGAAATCCGATTATGATGAAAAATTGTTGATTTTGCTGATGATGATGATGACCATCGGGAAAGAGAGGGGATGCGGGACTGGTCCGTTTATATCTAGTTAAGGATTCCATTCCGGTTATTGTTTGGTTGAGTTGTTCTCAGGAAAATCTCTGGCAAAAACTGAATATGAGTTTGTTTTCAACCTCAGGAAGAAAACAAGAAAAAAAATAATTGAAATATCAAGCACATCGAGGTTATTCGTTTTCCCATGGGACCCCGCGTAGAAGCTTTGCACATTCGGACCTTCAAAAAGAATCTGGTTCAGAAAAAAATCCAGATGATGGCGTAATCAAAAATGACCTATCCATCTGAAAAGGGATCATAAAGGAGGAGCCGCCGTTGCGTCAACCTCATTGGTGGAAAAGAGAGAGGGTGTCGCTTACTTTAAAAGCTTTCTACGAGTCAACATGGGGGTCGAATGAGTTGAGTCATTGTTTCGAAGAGAGAAATGGCGTGCGGCAAGAGAGTTGAGGGACTGGCGCCAAGGTTACGGTAGAGGGAGAAGCGAACTCCAGGATTGTGGACAATGTTTGACATCTTGCACATAATCGAGAACTGAGCTCAACGTTGACGGTTTGGGTGGGCTTCAATTAGAGAAAATACGGTATGTCTTGATGTCCAATCATGAAGACCCTGTCTCAAATCCTTTTCCAAATTTCAAAATAATCTATTTCTTTCCCACTAAATCATACTCCTCCTTATCTCGTAGCCCATTCCAGTAGAAACACCTGCCATAATGAGATATTCGAAATTCGTCCCGCTCAACTGATTGACCCAGATTCCTGTGTATTCTTCTCAAAATGAACAACTCATTAAACAATCATGTTCACTTTTACTTGTGATATCTTAAGAAACACCGCTGCATCACACGAACACCTGTCCTTTGTTTTCATTCGAGTCCACTACCTAGGGGTGACGAAACTCATCGAAGCATGACTTTTCCCTTTAGTCAAAATGAGAGAACTGGGTTACACCAACACAGTTATATGACCGGATGGATTGTCATGGATTCTTCTCCTCCTGGCGGTACGCTGAACGAGTAGAGAAAGACAAAGGGCAAGAAGAAGAGGAATACCGGTTGTATATGTCCTCCTGACTCGACACTGGGCACCAATGCTAAATGAGCTTTGTGTTAGCTACTAGGTCACTCCTCGCACATTTCACACCTTTCCCAGCCGGTTGACATACTTTTTCGTGTTCCCCAGGTGTTTTTTTTGGATGTGATGAGATGGAAAGAAAGCACCCCACTGGGGAGAAGCATACAAAGACAAAGGAACATTCATTCTTGGAATCCGGATGAAGATTTAGAGCCATCAACTGGGAACGGTGATCCTGGGTCAAGTGGAACTCATGAGTTTCGAAATTAGACTGGATTGTAGGGTTTTATTTCTTAGAGATCCTCTGATTGGAAAAGATCTTCCGACACTTTTTCAGAAATTCTCGACCTCCATGGAAGCAGGGGAATTGATATTACGTAATACATAGCGTTCGCTGGTACCATAAAATTGGAGCTGTGGAAAAGAAATGCCGGTGACCGTGACCGAAGTTCCCACAACGACAACTACCGTAACCTAAAAAAATTTTATTTTAAGAATTTGTTATCTCGACTTTTACTGTTTTTCGTGAAGTTTTCTGTTATTTTCCCAAAAAAAGTCTGAAAATTACTATTTTTGATAGTGAGAAATCTGCCTGGAAAAGTACTAGAATCGAGAAAATAAACTCAGAAAATAAAAACATTTTTAGGTTACGGTAGTTGTCGTTTAGGGACCTCCGGCACCGATTTTTTGTACTAGAATAATACAATATAACAATGTAACAAAGTCTTCATGTGACTCATTTATCCTTTTTGCCGATCACCGAGATGCATTTTTTTTCTTGTGCACTATTTTACTTCTTTATTCCACTCTTCTACACTTTTCACCATAATTTATCTCTGTGTTTCTTCTTTTCCAATGCTATTTTTCATTTCACATATGCTCATTATATTACACCGATCTGCGCACCCGGATTCCCAACGAGCCGAGCAAAAAAAAGAGCAAGCACAAAAAAGTGTTCCTCGAGTCAGGAGTTCTTACGAAGCCCGGCAAAGCAGTAAAGAAAACGAATATATATCGAAAATAGGTGAAAAATAGTGTACGGGTCCAGGAGCCGGAGAGAAGATTGCGCACTTGGTGAGCATCTGACGGAATGGATCACGGGAGCAAAAAGAACAGAAGAATCTTGATTTAGAATCCAACAAGAAGGGAATTTGAAGAACAGAGGGGGAGGGAGAAATTTACTAAAGTTAGAAGATAGCTCTTCATGAAGTACTGTACAACCGTAAAACCTGTAATAGAAGGGCCCCCACTGCCAAGTTTGAGCTCAATTATCTCAATTCCTACGACAGATCTCAAAATTGTGTGAACTAACAAAACACTTTCGATAGTATGATAAACAATATATCCGTTGACTACTTTTTTATATCTTTTACAGTTACCGAGATAAATTGGCTTAAAGTTAAAAGTCAGGGCCCTTCTATTACAGGTTTTACGGTACTATAAAACTTTTTTGAAAATCTGTTATCATGTCGAGAAATCATCAAAAACCATCAAAACGGTTTCTTCGTTTCAAAACCATCGTAAAATGCAAACATTCTTTCTTTCCTTCCCATAGGTGTAATTTTATGAGCCACCGAAGTCTACAAGGTCAATCTTAAGTTTTCAAATGAATTCAAGATTCTCAGATTTGAAAAAAAAGAAGAGTTTTCAATTGAGGGGTTCAGATTACTGTAGTTCACTCCAAAACCCATTAGATTCCCACTACTACAAACGAGTTAATTATTAATAAGATGCAACAATAAGGTTGTGTTGCGAAAAGAAAGAAAGGGAGGATCGGAACCGATATTGTTGCCGTTTTGAATGAGAAAAGTCGATTGACTATTAACTCGGTGAAGGCATCCATTAGAACAACCTTTTTAGAGAAAATAGTCAATTGGCAAGGGCATATATTCATTTTATAGTGTGCGGGAAATGTATCATGGAGACAAGGGACCATGAGAAGGTTTATTGAGAATCAAACGAATTTCGATAGATTTTGGTTTAATCCTAAAGCTGTAACTTTTGAAGTTTTGATTCTGCATTTTGTCTTGTAGATACATCTACTGATCCATTATTTTTTTTATCATTATTCTATTACGAAAAATCGGAATTGTGGAAGAGAAACCCGGGATGCCTTGGCCCGAGGCCCCACAGCGACAACTACCGTATCCTAAAAATTTAGCGATTTTTCGCTATTTTTCGAGAGAAAAACTTAATTTTTATTCGATTTCTGGCAAGTTTTTTAGACCTTTTTAAGTTTTTCAGCCTTTTTCAAGGATTCTTTCTCGATTTTTCCAGTTTTTTGTCTGAAATTTGATGGAACGGTGTTTGATTATTGTAGGTTACTGTAGATTACTGTAGAAAACTAATTTCCTTTTGTGGTTTTTTGCAAACACAATAACTTCAAACTGCAGATAAAAACTGTGTGTTTTTTTCTGAAAAATAACTACAGAAAACAAAGTTTTCTACAGTAACCTAAAATTCCGCAAATCCCGGAAAATTTCAGACAGTACGAAAAAACAGTACGAAAAAACAGTACGAAAAAATAAATGCGGAAAAAAACATTTTTAGGTTACGGTATTTGTAGCTATGGGACATTCGGCCAAGGTCACCGGAGTTTCTCTTCCACATCTCCGATTATTTTTTTAATCAGAATAATATCAATTGATTTTTTTCACAGTTCTAGCATTAAATGTGAACATCTTCTCTGTATACATGGTGTACTTCTTCACCACCTTCACCATGTTCGGTAACATTTTCAGTTGTATTTCACTGATGACTTGACATGTTACTCCTCACAGTGTGTACTCACCGGAAAAGGAAAGTCAACTGAAGTGAACTATAAATCAAAAAGATTTCGACCGCCTTTTGAGTGTTGAAACCCCATTTCCGAAAATGGGAAATCACATTATGATACTCTCCTTTTCTTGGTTTCACTCCGTCGGCAAGTTCATAAACTATTTGGAGAGCTCGTAAAACATGTGTGTTGGCTCTCTTATGTGTTGCTCACACACACACGCACACTCGTCTCTTCCCTAATTCATCATAAAGAAGAAAAAAGAAGGGAACAGAAGGAATTTCGGAGGAGAAGGACAGTATAAGACTAATAACCTTTCCCTGAAGCTTTTCATGTTGGCGACAGGGATGCCTTCTCGTGATTTACAGGTTTTCCGAGTTTCGTAGAGTGGGAAAGATGAGTTGAAGGGTGACATCAGAAAGGGCTTTTACGATTTGGTGTCGCTTGAAATCCGATATCAAAACGGAACAAAATATTGGGGTGCGCAGGAAGGATGGTTCGGAGAAAAGCAGATGATAGGGATTTTCGAATGGTACAGTTTATCGGAAGTTCTGAAACGAATATTATTAGTCTAAACACAACAAAGCAAAATTATTAGTGGCGAGATATTCATAGAAATGGAGAAATACTTTTTAAGGAAAAATTGATCTCGTGATCTCGATCCGACGAATGGGACAAAATAGGAAGTGGGTAAGTAGAATAAAAACAGCAAAATGAAAATTATGCAATTATGGGAACAATTGTACAATAGCTGATCTTGACCATCTACCAATTCAGATGCTTCTTGTCCTTTTTGACTGAAATACATCCGTGATGGCTCTCCATATCCTTGATACTTGTTCTGTCATCGTCTATAGGAACGTAGGCATGAAGACGTGGTGGATGCTCGGAAAGTTGGCTTGAGTATTTCGAGTGCGGAAGTTGTGGTATGCGTAATGAAGGTGAAGTTTCTCCATCCTTGACAGGCGGGTGCATTTCTTCCCACATCTTGTCGTCGTCGTTTTCAAAATCAGCTGGAAAAAAACATTATTTTTGGGAAATCAGAGTCACGAGAAACTAACGAATTGGAGCTTCCTGAAGATGATTGACAATGGCAAATGAAATGCGAACGTTTCTATCCAAAATGTAGTTCAACTCGATATCATCATCATCCAAACCGAACGGCCGCATCAAATCTTGACCAACCTTTAAAAATAATTTTGCTTGCATATGAAATTTTTTAAATTGGGTCACCTTGAACCATCCGACAAAGAATAGAAACTGGACTATAGTGAAAATCGGAACCTTCAGATCGATTTCTTTTCCTGATTCAATTTCGGGGAGCAGCGGTTGACGTCCAAAGAGTGAGAAGAAGAAGAATGAATACGTGGCAAGAGCTGCCACTTGAGTGTACACAAGTGGAACACAAACCCAATCGTATGAGTACAATTTGCGAAGCGATTGCCGGAAGATCCGGAGTTCAGCAACAAACTGGTTAAGGAGCGAAGCTGTTGGCTTGGTTTCGTCTTCTACTTGTCTCATAATCTGTTGGATCCAATGAAGAGGTGTCATCCAGCGACTGGATTCGTTCTCTGTCTGAAAATACAAATTGGATAATGGTTTCTTAGTTTTGAATCATACATGCATCGTTTCCAGAATTTGATATTCCTTCTCAGTCAAAAGTCCTCCCTCTATCAAACTGTGAACGGTTGGGAAACGAAGACGGATTTTTGATGAAATGTCGCGCCTAAAAAACAGGATTCAGGAAAAAACTTTTAAGGAAATTTTTGTCTTACCAAGCCAATGCATTCGAAAGATTAAGATATCTGGCAATTGTATGTCGTCTCCGTTTACTTTTATCATCATGCTGATGGAGTACGGTACAGAGAACGGACAAAATGTCTTCTGGCCAGTAAAGGGTTTCAAATTGACGCCACCAACGAGCAACAACGTTGGATACATAGAATCCAAGAAGGAATGTGAGAGGAATCAAACGAGTATATGAATCACACTGTCGACAGAATGATTCAAACATTCCTTCAATTGAATAGGTCGATTTAAACAAAGAACACCAAGAATCTTACGCCGAATTTTGTTTCTGTCGTCGTCATCGTCATCAATGAAATCTATTCCCTTCAGGTAGAACAGGCGAATTGAATAGAAGAAGAATAGATAAATGAGAAGCTCTCTCCAGACTGTTCTGAAAATGAAAACCTTACTGAGCACCCTTCAATTCGAACCTAACCTCCAAATAGATCCTTTCCACCGTAACAGCAAACGGATCACATTTCCACTGTAGGAAATCGTCATTTGCCTGAAATAAGATGTATACGAATCTAGAAAAAAGTATCTGAGAAAGCCGGACGGCAGCTGAAAACAAAGAAAAAATGCACGGATATTGGAAAACAAATTCGGTTGCCACGGAGATTAACGGAACCAACAGGGGATAGAGGAAAAAACTAGAAGATTAAAAATTCTAAGACTCTAACACGTTATAAATAAGAAACGACATTCTTCACTGAGCAAAAATCGTCGTTCATGTTGAAATATTCAGTCAACTGTGAACAGAAAAAAAGAAGTTGCAATATAAATGAAAAGTGAATCATTTTCGAATTGTGTCAAAGATAAGAAAAATCAAAAGTGAACAATTTTTTGTGTTTTTGTCCAGGTGGGCGGTTGGATTGAATTGAATTTGAATCTCTAGTCTTTAATCAAATTTTGAAAACAACAACAAAAAAAACTAAATGATAATTGGAAATCATTTTAGTCTTCAGCAATCATGTTGACTACTTTTTTTGTCAGAATGTCGGTCACTGTGGTAGTAAATTTTTCCTTTGATTGTAGGAGTGGAAATGTGGAAAAAGATTTTTGCTGAATAGTGTTGATGTTACAGAGGCATAGACAGAAATCATTGAATTTCATGGGTCAACACAAGACAGATCGTGAACAATGGAGAGTTGTAGGAAAATATTGGTAGAGTTTGAAGTGAAAAAATAGAAACAAAATGGAAGAGGAATAGAGAGTAAGAAGAAATGTGACTGTTAAATATTGCGGTTACTCACACAGTAAGTAAGTAATATACACTGCTGTGTTTGCGAATAATTGCAAATAATCGGTTTTGAACAGACGACTTCTAGAAAGTAATGAACGACATATAATTTGGAGAAGGTTTCTTGCAGGGATGGTCGGAATGGATTCTGCGGAACTTCTGAATATTCCAATTTAAAAATTTCGGAATTTCCTATCACAAAAGCAAAAAAAAATTGGTGAAAATTTGTCACAAAGTTTTCAAAACGCAAAAGAAAAATTAAAAGTAATTCCGCTCGAAACCCCAAGAAAAGGTTTCATGTGCGCCTTTGAAATACCGTAGTTCAAAACGCTCTAATCCAAAAAAAAAGGTTTCGGAAATAAATATTCTGATCTGAATTTCTTTCCGAAAAAGGTGAGAATTTTCGGAATTTCCGAAATTTCAAGAAATTTTTTTTGAAAACCCGGCTCGTTGCAACTTGCACATAGCAAAAAAGTTGCTTACATCAGAAAAAAATTGGGAAATATTTTTTTCCGGAAAAATTGATTGATCGTAGGTCTCGCACCGTTAATTGTATTGTATTGTATTGTTAATAGTATTTGTATTTAGAATTTATTTTTCATGTTTCTTTTTCTGGGAATATTTCTTGCAGACAGCGAGAAAGAAACATAGAAAACGTTCACTGTGTATTTATAAAGCGGTTAATACAACCAATGATCTGTTTTCCTCATATGGAAAAATGAGGTAAATCGCAGCCCGAGAAAACCTTCGAATACCAAATGAAGGTCATTTCGGAAATTCCAAATTCTCTCGGTCTTTTTTTTTCAAACCGGCAGTTGGCCTCTCCAGTGAACTGCAGTCTCAGAATAGAAATTTATGTTAATTCTGCAAACCGGATATGAATAGCGGTCGGGAGAAAAATTCTCTCGAGTTGAAATATTTATTGGATGAATGGGAGGTGTAAAAATTGGCTATAGGCAAACGGTACAAGTGGTTTTTTTCCGGGTGCGAAGAAAATAATCATTTTACAATTAGAGCATTGAGGAAAACGGATAGACACTAGTATTTGAAAAATAATTTACCGATTTTCATACAATGGAGTGAGTGACTACCTTGAAAAACGACGGGAGTAGGGGCGAGTGGGGGAAATGTACAGACAAACACATAAAAACCCAAGGAACTAGTATTGAAAATTATGATTAGTTTCAGTAATAGAAAATCACAGGATCAAAAGACACGAACTGGGTTATGAAGTATATTCATATTTATGGTGAGGCGGCTTGCGCCGATAGATGACGTCGTGCTCCATCGAAAACTGATTGAAGGGAGAACGCATCAGCAGTGAGCTCGCAGATTTCTCTATCACCCCATGACTGGGTTGGCAAATTTTGAAGGAGTATCATGACACCCTGTAAAACAAAATGAGCAAATTGTTTTTGAAATATAACGGTTTTTGTTTCTGAAAAATCTAAATACCTGGAAATCTTTTTCAGCCTGCAATTGTTTAGACCAAGTTCTCAAAAATGCGGCGCATACGTAGTTGTGGAATTGCATGAAACCATCTGGCTCACTCTGAAACGCATATTAATCTTCTATGATTTAGTGATGAAACATACCAAATAAGTATCCCACAAACGTATCGTAGCTCGAAGTGGGATTTCTCTCATCAACAGATTGTTCATCCAACGGAAAGCAAATTGTAAATACTCGATTCCATTAGATTCGAGGTGTTTATGCAGTGGCCCTGCAAATTTGTCGAACTTATATAAAATGCTTGTAAAAACTATACTTACGATCTACGCGGCTCATCAGATGGCGAAGTTGAAGAACTTTTCTCTGTATTCCAGGTTGGGCAAATGTATAATTATCCTGAAAACATGCAAAACTGCACGCTTACCATACTATTGAAGGTCCTTACCTGAATTGAATCAAGGAGCGCTGAAACACACCAAAATGAATCAGCCTCAATAAGTTGACATTGCTCAAGAGGGAGTTGAGAAACGTCGAATGAGCCGACTTCAACATCTTGTGGAATGAATTCAGAAAGGAAAACGACGAAAAACGGTGTAACAAGGTCGTTGATTCCTTGGACGTATCCACTTGCTGGATGGCGAATAGCCCAGATGTACAGTATTCTTTCGAACATCTGTAGAAAACGTTGTTTTTTTCGGAGGGAGGAAACACAGTTTTTAGGTATGTTAGAATATAATTACCTCTTGAACCATTTTTTGTTGAAACAGCGGAATAAGTGGGCACATTCGCGGAATGTCGATATTAATCTGTAATTTATAGTTTTTTAATGTTTGAAACATTTTCAGTATACCTGTCTGAATGTATCAGCATTTTGATCCTCAAACCTAGAATGGAAATACTGTTCCACATAATGCCAATATTCATCTCTTTTACATTGAAGTGTCACTTCACGACGTTCTGCATTCGTTGGAAGATATCCCTTTAAAAAATGAAGATATCGACATACATTTTAGTATAAAGCTTACGGAAAGAAGTCTCCAAGCTTGTGGTCTCAGTTTATGTGGGATTCCCATCCAACAGTCTTCTCTTAATTTATCTAAATCTACATCCACTGGTGGTGAACTCCTTCCAGACGATTTTCCATTTGAAAACAAACGTCGCAGACGCGCGAATCTAGTCTGATCACGATCTCCACCTAAAAAAAGAAAATATATATGGGGTCTGGCAATCTTATCGTTACCATATGGAGGAGCGCTAGCTATAGGTGCTGCAGACCGAGGTTGATCCGATATTTCAGGTAGCTTTGGATAAATTGGATTTGCAGTTTGAGGTGTTGCTGATACTGATGAGGGTAGTGGTTCTGAAAAAGGTTGAATGAAAATGATGGTCCTATTTTTATACTGTTTTTAATCAAACAAGATTCGACATACAATTTATTTGATGTGGAAAAAAATAGTTGAACAATTGTTACCTTTTTGTATCGCAAGCCTTTGTAAGGCTTGTTGTCTACTGTTTTTTGTTGGTGCCGCACTGACTGGTGGCATGATTTCTTCATCCCGAGTCGTTTTCCCAGCCGCATGTGCAGCTAAAACTTTTGCAGCTGAAGCTGAAGCCAGGGTTTCATCCACTTTTACTCTTGTGTCCCAAGCATCCGATACACTGAAAAAACCAAATATAGGAGTGCAGTGAGACTATTTTTTTATAAGTTCAACGTGACGAATAGCTGAAGCGCACAGATAGCATTTTATAATGACCTATTTTCATAATCTCGAAATTTGCTTATCCTTCCTGGAATATCAGCTCCTTTCGTTGGACTTGCATGTTGAAGTGGTGGGTATCGAGCGCCATAAACAGGTTTGACGCTGAAATATCATCTTACTATTGAATTTCTGGTGAACTCCTTTAAGAATGTTACCTCCCCGGTGTTGACCCGGCTGACCATCGACTCATTTGCTCAAGTTCGCTGTAATTGTTCGAATTTCAGCTGAAAAACGTCTGGAATCGGCGAACAACGGCTAAAAACCTGTTGTTTGCCAACTCGGCGAGATTATTTGTGCAAATGCGCCCCCTGGACAAAAAAGGTGAAAGAGTGTGTGAAATGAAGAGACGCAGACTAAGCACAATGGCGAATGTCCAAATTCAATTTAGGATGGGGAAATTGAAAACGAAATTGGGTGAAAATAAAATGAGAAGAGGAATCAATAAAATTTATAGACTTACTTTTGTCGAAGACATATCCATCGCTTGGCTAGCTGTCCGCTCATTCTGTTGTGTTCTGTGAGTAAATAGAGAAAAACAGTTTTCCGGCGATTCAGCTCACGGAAAATCGAGCAGCTATTGTGCAAATATGCTACCTGCGCGCGCCAACTTATTCGCCACGTCATAAAAAATTAAGATGCAACCTACTCGTTGTTGTTAATTTCGTGGTCAATTTTCCCAGCTGAAAATTGATCCAGCCTCTTGAAACACAAGTTGGTGCACAACAGCATCTGGAAATTTTGGTTTTTAGAACATTCACTATTTGTAGGGTGATGGAAGCGAAAAAAAAGGAAAAAAGAATCAGAAACTTTTGGCAGGAAAATCCCAAAGTATATTGCATTTACGACTCAACAGCTGACTCTGGTTTTTAGGTCTGGAAGGTTACTGTAAACTGGTACAGTAACCCATAATTGGGAACTGTAAACTGGTACAGTAACCCATAATTGGGAACAATGGTTTGGACCTCTAAAGACTAGGATTTAATTTTTGTTTCTCAAAAGTAACATGTATTTCTTTGGTCCCATTCGAATGCCCATTCTATTGTTTGCTCTTTGCTACAGTAACCCCTTCTAAATTACTATAACCAATTTCAAAGAGGAAAGCACAAAATGAATACTCTATGTTCCCTCTCTTTTCCCTGACACAATGGATTTGGTTGTATGTGATGCTAAACAATGAACAATAAGCACCGAGATAGACAGCACAATAGTTAGAGATGCAGGCGTTTTGGTAGGAAAACTGTGTAAACTGGTACGGACGGTCGCCAGCGACAAACGACTGAATGTCCGGCTCACTTCTCTTGCACACACTGATTTTTTTCTCAGTTTGAACTGTTAATGTATCACCGTCCAAGAAGGGGGAAAGAGCAAATATTTAGGAGGAGAATAGGAAAAGTAGTAGTGATGGAGTTGATAATAGATATTTGAAAGAACTGGTTGCCAACTACTTTGAATTAAGAAATAAAAGGATTACACTGGATTTGAGGAGTATGAATGAGATCCACTTTTTAAAAAATTTTTAGAGCATAAATCTAACATACCGTAAACACTCTAATAGAACGCCCTCTACGTTCCTTATAAAGTAAAAAATATTTTTCAGTTGACCACTTTTACATATCTTTTACAGAAACCAAGATGGCTCAAAGTTGAAAGTTAGAGTGCTTTTAAAACATTTTACCTAAAATTTGAAATCAATTTTTCTACAAAAAAAAACAATTTTTTTAAAAGCCGGTTAAAATGATATAAATCTTTGGGGGTCTCGACGCAACAGTAGTGTACTATCGCGCTGGTTTTGACGGTGCGAATCGGAAATCTTGGGAACCTGGGCGCCATTTTTAACAGCTTTCTGGGCATATACATCTCAGATTTGTGAACTTTGGGCGCGGTATAAGTTAAATAAAAATACAAAATATTACAGTAATGGGCGTACCACTATGGTAAGTGAAGAGTTCTTAAGCTGAGAGATGAAGAAAATTCAATCAACTCGTTTTGAGTTCCAGTTGCTATTGAAGGTAAGAATAGGAGACTTCTGATTACAGATTGAATGATAAGATTTTCAAAGTCACGAAATTTTTGATAGGTAATCATATTCCTGAATAAAAAAGGTCAAAGAAAATGTGGAAAGCAATCATTTGGAATCCATGAACATATTTTGGGTTACTGTAGATCGCTTCTGCCATTCATGACGTGGAAAATGGCACAACACAAACAATAAATCTGTTCTCCGAGAAATGAGACGAAAATGGCCGGCAAAACGGAAAACTAGGAGGAGCCCGGACAGAATGATGACTGGCCCTCCTGAACACATAGCCGAACCTAATACAAACAAAAACGTCGCCGAAAAAGGAAGAAGAGGAAAAATGAAAAAAAAAAACGAATCGAGAGGAGAGAAAAGATGGTGAAGAATCGTGAGTGCGCGGTGCTTCCCGCGGGCGCGGCGCCCAAGAATATGATGTTAGTCTCCACTGGGGCTCAAATGGACAGAATCGAATGGACACTACGAGGAAAAGGGAAAGAGACTGTTTACACACACAGAAAAAACCACAAGCAAAAAACTATCTCGCGTACAACAAAAATATATACAGAGATATGTGTTCATTTTCATACAGTAGGGGTTAATTTTGACAACATTTAGAATATCCGGAAATTAACGAGTTTTTTTTCAATTTGGAATTTTTGAGGACACCTGAATCCAAAATAACAAATAAGAATCATAAAGTTGAACTGTTGTATCCAAAATTTGGTGTCCATATATTGAAATATTTTTAATAACACTGAATTCTACAAACAATGATATATAAAGTTTATTTTCCAGATAGCGTTGATTCACAAATCAAGATTCCTGGAAAAAAAAAAGTAGACTGTTCGTACTGTGAAACTTCCATTTTATACTCTTCGCTGCTAAATCTCCCGGCTCCAGCTTGTAATTTTATAGACAATTTTTGTCAGTCTTACGCAGACATCTTTTTTTCTGGATTTTTTGGGAATACGGAAATTTGAAAATTTAAAGTTTCACAACATTTTGATTCGAAAATTCAGAAATGATTTCTGAATTTTTCCTGAATTCCGAGTGTCTGAAATTCTAAATTCTAAGAATTTTTCAAAATGTGATTCCGAAATCAGGTTAAATCAGGATTACAGATTCACCAAAACTATCAACTTCAGAATTCCTTGTAGCGTGATCCCATCCCTGTGACCGCTAGAACCATTTTTTCAAGCCATACTCTCTTCAAATCGAACAGTTGGTTTATTACTTCCAAATGGATTCGACCAAGCTCCTTCAATTTGTATGTTTGGGAACTGAATAAATAAATCTAAATTCGAAATTCTTCATTATACGAAGAAGATGGTCCAATGCCTGGGCAAACTGCCAAAGAAAACCAAATGTCTGGCAAAAAAGTGAAGCAGTGTTCAGAAAAAGAAAACAAATATGCGGAAATGGTCCGAAAAATGGCATCTGTGCTTGGAAAAGGAAAATATTCTAAAATATATCGTGGGAGAAGTCACCCAAACGGATTGTGGCACGCTGTGAAAGTGGATAATACTCATAGGAAAGCCAGCTATGCACCTCACGAAGTCTCCATATTGAGAATTATCATGTATCCCAAAGAAGTCCCTCACATTCCAAAACCTCTTGCATATGTCAAAACGCCTTCGATTTGTTAGAAAAGTTTCAGAATAAATACATTATATAACCTAATTCAGCCTACTTTGCAATGACTCTTCTCGGAAAGAATATCAGCGATCTGAAGCTCGAAAGTCCAGAACAACGCTTTCCAAGTGGAACTCTGAGCCGTATTGGTCTTCAAGTGCTTCATGCTCTCAAATCAATGCACAAAAAAGGAATCATTCATCGTAATATTAAACCATCGAAATTGATGATGGGACATGAAGAAGATGGGAAAAGATGGCGTCTTGTTCATGTGATTGGTTTTGGGTTTGCAAGACAATGGGCTTATAATCAGGTTGAGGAGATTTACAAATCAGAATGATATTTAATATATTTATAGGATAAATTCAATCCAACAAAAATGCATCCTCGTCCACTGAGAAAAAAGGTCCGATTCCGTGGATCTCTGAAATTCTCTTCTCCTAATGCTCATCTTGGATGTGATTTGAGCCGTCGGGATGATTTATGGTCACTTTTGTTCACATTTATTGATCTGAATGGTAGTTTACCATGGGCTGCAGAAAGAGACCATTCCATTTTGGCAAAGAAAAAACTCGACCCAGAAATAGTTCTTGCCGATATGCCGCCAAATTTCGACAAAGTAATGAAGCATTTGATTGAGCTGAAACCTTTGGAGAGACCGAATTAATAGTAAGCCGTTGTTGCAGTACTATTATAATTTAAGTAATTTTTCAGCATGTTTTTCAATGTGCTAAGAAATCTGATGTTTGATTCCGGCCAAATTCCAGAGTGTAAATACATTTTTGAAAGCGACGATCTAACTTATGAAGAATTGAAAACTCGAAAAAAAGAAGAATGGGAGGAAATAACAGGAACATTTTTCGAGGCGAGATTCGTTTTTTTTTATAATTGACTTTATTATATTTTTTCTAGAAAGATTTCATCGAAATCAATGGTCCTGAAAAGTGTCTGAGAAAGAAGAAAGAATGGAAGACTCCGAGTTTGGACGAATTTATATCAGCCAGATATTTGGTAATTGATGACGAGATGAAAGAATATCATAAGCTTCCAGCAGAGCTAGAAGATTATGAGAAGAAAAAGAAAACAGATGTTAACTATATTGAAAAGGTGAAATAAAAGGGAAAATAGGAGATAAGTTTAAAAAATCAAATGTTTCAGATGGAAAGGGAAAAGAACAGAACCAAACTACTGTATGAGCTCAAACCTGTAAGCGTCTTCTAAATATTTTTTATTATTCTAGTACAAAAAAATAGGAGCTCAAATCGGAAGCAAAACACCGGTGGCCGACCGAAGGTCTCGCAACGACAACTACCGTAATCTGAAAATATTTTTATATTCCGTATTTATCTTCGATTTTCGTGCGTTTTCAGTCAATTTTTTAATTTTGTCAGAAATCAGAAAATCAATTTTCGGACTTTTTTTGGAAACGTAACAGAAAGCTCGACGGAAGGAAATGAAAAACGAGAAAACAAATACGGAAATAAAAATAATTCAAGTTACGGTAGTTGTCGTTGTGGAACATTCGGCCACGGCCACCGGAGATTCTCTTCCATGCCCCAACTTCCATGTACCAGTATTATAATCAAAGTAAAAATGATTCAGACCAACGGAGAAGAGAAATACGAACACCGTCGAGCTGCAAATAAGCTCCGAGCTGACCATGATTTGAAGCGTGAAAAGGGAAAGATTTTCGGAGGAAAAAAGAAAAAAGAAGGCGAATACATGGCATGTGAATCTCTTCGGGAAAGAGGAGAAAAGCACGAAAACGAGAAGGAAGAAAATATTCCGATTGGCGAACATTTGGATATCAAGAAAAGATCGTTGGCTTACCGAGAAATGCTCAATACCGGAGAAGAAATGAAATTCGAGGGCAGTCCACAGATCGACGACGCATCCTTGGATCAGGATGGTCCGTAGAAAGCTTATTGAATAAAGAATTGAACTATTCACATAACTTTATTCTAAAAAGGCACATAAAAGTCTGAGCTTCACAACCGTACTCAAAATTAATTACACTTGATATTATCGAAAAAAAGCCATAACAAAAAAAGAAAAGCTCTTGAATAACCGGAGGTCCTACAAAAAAAAACTAAAAAATCTAAATTTTTAGGCGAATTGCACAAGAACGGCGTTCTTTGGAACATTCTTCCCAGCTTGACATTTGATGTGTTCGATTTTCGAATCTTCTGGTGCCCGAATAATGTATTCCATTTTCATTGCTGTCATGACCACTAAAGCTTGTCCGGTGGTGACCTGAGAACTCGAGAATAAAAATTAAAAAAAAAGAATGTTATACCTGATCTCCTGGCTTCACTAAAATTTTCTCGATGATTCCTGGCATAGGTGCGACAGCTGAATGGCTAGCAGCTCCTCCAGCAAGCGAATCGAATGCCTCGTGGACTGCGGGAGTTTCGTATTCATTTTGACCAACCCCGTTTACCTCAATATCAGAATCATATTACAAAGTGAAATTACTTCCTTCATACCATAAGTGTTTCTGGAAGATCTTTGACAATCGTAGACCAACGTCTACCGTTTGCTTCTACTGTGAATTTGAATTCATGATCTCCGAGAGCTTGGACGTCATTGAGAAGAGTTTCATAACTATTTCCGTCGTAAGAGACAGTGAGACGACGATCGGAATCAAATTGGACGGTGACATCTTTTCCTTCTGAAAAATTATTGAAATGGTAGCATTACGATATAAATAAGTATGCCTACCAATTTTGTACACATATTTTGGAGCCAAGTTAATTCTGAAGAATGAGAGATTTTGGAAAACTCCAGCATCTGATTTCTTGAGTGCAGCCAAAGCATGAGCAACAGCGGACTCAACGAAAATCTCGGCTGGTGTCTCTGCTTCAGCGAAAAGTTCTTCATGATGATCTGGGATGAAATCAGTGTACACGTTTCCGGCAGCGAATTCCGGATGAGCAAGAACACGTCGGACGAAATCGATGTTGGTTGGAAGACCCGAAATACGGGTACGGGCTAGTGCGCTTTCCAGCTTGGCAGCAGCAACATTACGATCTTTACCCCAAACAACAACCTGAATATGATAACAGGGGTAATATTTTTCGGTGAATTTATTTACCTTGGCGATCATAGGATCGTAATGAATAGAAACTTCGTCTCCTGAAACGACACCGGTATCGATTCTAGCATCTTCTGGGAAATCAACATAGTTCAGACGGCCTGCAGTTGGCATAAATGCTCCCTTTCGAGTGTCTTCCGCATAGACACGGCATTCGAAAGCATGTCCGTTCAGTGGAATTTCGGATTGCTTCAAAGGAAGCTTCTCTCCTTGAGCGACACGAAGTTGCCACTCAACCAAATCAGTTCCTGTGATAGCCTCACTGACTGGATGCTCAACTTGAAGACGAGTGTTCATCTCCATGAAATAGAACTCTCCACGTGGATCCATGATGAATTCGACAGTTCCTGCTCCAACATATCCAACGGCAGCAGCTGCACGGACGGCTGATTCTCCAAGTTTGAGACGATTCTCGTGAGCTAGAATATACATTTTTTAGTGGACGGTTTAAAGTGGATGATTTATTTAACTCACTCATATTTGGAGCTGGCGCTTCTTCGATAATTTTTTGATGGCGTCTTTGAACTGAACAATCTCTTTCCCAGAGGTGTACGTAGTTTCCATGATGATCTCCGAACACTTGGACTTCCACGTGTCTTGGTCTCTCAACAAACTTCTCGACTAGCATCTCATCGTTTCCGAACGACTTCTTTGCTTCGTTACGAGCTGAAGCCAATTTCTCATCGAATTCTTCCTCGTTCCAGGCGATTCTCATTCCTTTTCCACCACCTCCATACACTGCTTTCAACATAACTGGGTAGCCTGAAAATGATTTTTATGATTAAAAAAAAATAACTGAATCGTTTTAAACTGCTTACCAATCTCTTGTGACTTCTTCTTCAAATTGGCATCAGATTGATCTTCTCCATGGAAACCTTTGACAACTGGAACTTTTGCATCTTCCATGATTTGTTTAGATACGTTCTTCGCTCCCATATCTCTAATCGCTTGGGCTGGTGGTCCGATGAATACCAGACCTGCTTGAGCACATCTCTCAGCAAACCCAGCATTCTCAGAAAGGAAACCGTATCCAGGATGAATGGCTTGGGCACCAGAACGGAGAGCTGTGTTAATGATTTTATCCATGTTGAGATAGCTTTCAGAAGCAAGTGGTGGACCAATGTGGTAGGCCTGGAAACTGGTATAGATTTACGACAAGATGCTTTTTACAGCATACCTTATCAGCCTTTTTGACGAAAAGAGAGTTACGGTCGGCATCTGAAAACACAGCGACGGTCTCGATTCCCATCTTTCTAGCAGTATTCTGGACCCGAATAGCAATCTCTCCTCGGTTTGCTACCAATACTCGTTGGATCGGACGGATCAAAGGAGCCGTCGAGGCGTATCGTTTCTGCACTGCCCGAAGCATCTGAAATGATAATATATAAAATAGTTGATTTTAAGTCGAAGCGTTATTCAAAAAAAAACGGGATATTCGGAACAGAACGTCCGGAACGAACCTCGGAATTTCAAAAAAAATTCGGAATTCGAGCTTTTTCGACTACAGTATGTCAAAGACGCACGCTGTAAGTTTGCCTTTGGGTTTTGAGCGGAACTGTTTTTAATACTGTTTTGCGTTTTTCAAATCTTTTTCTAAATTTTGCGCTTTTGTGATGGGAAAGTGAGTATTGAATTTTAAAAATTTCGAAGATCCGAAATTTAAAAATCGGAATATTCCAAGATTCCTAAAATTTAAAACTCTGGATTTTCGATATTCCGGGTATTCCCAGAAGGCCATTCCGAACATCGCTGATTTAAAATCAGCTTTCTATGCCAAAAACGTAGAAAAGAGCAAAAAAGACAGACGAGAAGCTTGATAATAAAACTTTTTACCGACGGGCGCGCTTTCTCTCTGCCTGTCTGCGTCTCTCTTGCTGCCTCATTCGCTCTCGCATCTGTCGCTTTTCGAATTCTTCCTGTCTTCTTTTTTTTTATTTTCTTTCTTTTTTCAGAAGTGTTTCCCGCAAAAATTTATTTTTTTTTGCAGTTAAAATGGACTTCAAAGCAAAACTTCTCGCCGAAATGGCAAAAAAACGGAAAGCAGTGTCTAGTTTGGAAGTGAAAGATGGTGGTGCAAAATTTGTTCGTGGAGCTGATTTGGAATCGAAAAGGACTCAAGAATACGAAGCAAAAAAACAGGAATTGGCGAGCAAAAAGCGGGTAAGATTTAGAAAATTTGATATGAAATTTAAATACATTTGATTTTAAGAAAATTGACGACGAAATCCTTCGAGAATCATCGAGTAAGACAAAAGTTGTCCCAGAAGAAAATGTCGCTGAATTCGATGAAAAGGTACCTATGTCAGACATCCATTTTCGTCTCAGACAACGTGGACAGCCCATTCTGCTCTTCGGTATGTGAAACTGTCAATAAGAAAACATAAAAGCTGATATCGAAAGTGTTTGATAAAACTGAAAACTATGAAATGAATGGCGCGACCTCTAACCTTCAATTTTCCAGGAGAGTCGGAGCTCGAAGTTCGTAAGCGGCTTCATCAATTAGAACTAGAACAACCGGAGTTGAACGAAGGATGGGAAAATGAATTGCAAACTGCGATGAAGTTTATTGGAAAAGAAATGGACAAGGTATGAATACAAATTATATAGTAGTTATCTTTATAGTATATTTCTAGGCAGTTGTGGAAGGTACCGCTGATAGTGCTACTCGTCATGACATCGCTCTTCCTAAAGGATATGAAGAAGACAACTGGAAGATCATCGAGCAGTCTTCAACACTTCTTGGTGTTGGTGAGTAAAATATATTTTATATAATTCATATGCTATCAGAATATTTTCAAAAAATTTTTAATTTTTCAGGCGATGAATTGAAGCGAGATTGCGATATCATCCTTTCGATATGCCGTTACATTCTCGCCAGATGGGCTCGAGATTTGAACGATAGACCTTTGGATGTGAAGAAAACCGCACAGGGTATATTCTTGAAATTCAAAATATTATGTTTAAATTTCGAAATATTCAGGTATGCACGAAGCTGCACATCACAAACAGACGACAATGCATTTAAAAAGTTTAATGACTTCCATGGAAAAATATAATGTGAACAATGATATTCGACACCACTTGGCAAAAATTTGCAGGTATTTTTTTTGCTCTATAACTTTTCAGAAAAAAAACAAAATTCGATTTCAGACTTTTGGTAATCGATAGAAACTATCTGGAAGCCAACAACGCATACATGGAAATGGCAATTGGTAATGCACCATGGCCAGTCGGAGTCACCCGTTCTGGTATCCATCAACGTCCAGGATCAGCAAAAGCCTACGTTAGTAATATTGCTCATGTGCTCAACGATGAAACCCAGAGGAAGTATATTCAGGTAAGAACTAATTAAGGATAGCTTATCATTCCCGATTTGCAGGCTTTCAAACGTTTAATGACCAAACTGCAAGAGTATTTCCCAACAGATCCATCGAAAAGTGTCGAGTTTGTCAGAAAAACCGTCTAACCCTTTCATATTCATTTTTTTTTTGTTTTTGTTCTTTTTTACACATTCAGTCAACATATTGATAAACTATTTATATACATTCAATATCAATTCAGGTTGATTATATCACAGTGTCCAAGTTTTCAAAAAAAAAGTCATTTTTGTTTCCAGATTAAACTCCATTGAAATAATGAAACGTCGAAAAATTTTGATATGATTGTGTAGTAAGAGATCATTGAGGTAGATGCAAGCAATTTACAGCGTAAATTAGGACGTCGGAGGGTGAGGAGAATGTTGTGGAGGTGTCGTTTTATGAGTGGCTTGGATCAATTGGTCGAATTCAATGATGTTGAAAAGGGATGTTACGTGAACTCCTTCATTCATCAAATGGGTCAAACTCTGAAAAATAAACAATAGTTTCTGAAAAAAAAAACACTATAAAAATCACATACCGTAACCGCAGACAGCATAATCATAAATTTGGCAATTCGAAGAGTAGCTTGAGCAGAAGTTGAGCATTTGTTTGATCTTGCATAGTTGTACAAAGCAGATAGATATTTTTCACGAGCGGCGGAGACGATTGCTTTCCCAGCAGGTGATAGACCGGATTCTAAAAATTTCGATGTTTTAAAACAAATATCCTGGATAGATGCTATATTTTACCGTTTGAAAAGAACATTATACATTTGACAAGAACCATTTCGTTATCGTCCATTTGGAAGTTCTTCATTGGATAAATGACATAGTTCAAATATCGAGGCATGCATTCCTTATAGAATTCGGTTATACTGAAACAGTAATTTGTGTGTATTTAATTCGAACAGTCTGAAATACCTTGGATGACCTCCTTCTGGAAGATGGGCGGCCCCATTTGCAAAACAAATACCGTCGACTCCACTTTTGTATGAATAGTAGGCGTGAACCAACCATCCATGAAGAATAATCTTCTTTTTCGCTAATACAACTTGGTCTTCTGGAGACAATGCACAGAATTCGTCCATTGCATGACACCAGTCAGAATAATATGTGAAATGCCGACGCCATCCATCAATTAACTCTTCTGGAGTAAGTACGCGGTTGTTGACAAAATTCATAGGATATCGGTTACAAACTAAATGTGGTTGACGGAAGACTGTCTGAAAGAATTTTTAAAGTGAATTATTTTAAAAGAAAGGTAACCAACCTCAAACGGCAAAGTGATTGGAGTTTTAGTTTCATTGATCGAGTCTCCAACTGTTACTAGATGGTTGAAAAATACTTTATGCTCTATATCCATAAGAATTGAAGGAATAAGATAATCCATTGGAACTGGCAAGTCGGATGGTGGTGTTGAGATCCTTTCCTGTTTCAGAGGCAGCAATCCAGGTGGTGTCGAGTTTTCAGCCATTTCGTAATCATAATCCTCAATTTCCATTTTTCCATCGGTCTGAAAAAACTAATCTTTATATTCTAACATATCCTGATTCAGCTTTCTTACCTGTGTCATTTTATCAGTGGTGTCGGGACGAATTCGTTTCCTTTTTGTCTGACCATTTGAAATCATTGATTCTTTGGATGGTGTGATCTGAATCGGTGATTGCATCGGCCCCATTCCCATTCCACCTCCATTCTTTGCGTTTCTGTCCCGCTCATTTTGTACTGCTGAAAATTTCAAAAATATTTTATTTAATTCTAGTTCCTATAAATAAAAAACTTACAATCAGGATTCATTCCAACCTCAAAACATTTTTTTAATCTACACGATCTACAGACATTTCGATGCTCCTTCACAACTGGGCAATCTCCACCGAAACGGCAGGAGTACTGTCGTCGAGACCACACACTAGAATAATAATTAATTTAATTTTTTAGATTTCTTTTCAAAAGTGAATTACCTTCTTCTGAAGAACCCTTTACAACCATTACATGCATTGATTCCATAATGCTTCCCAAATGCCACGTCACCACAAACATCGCATATCAGACGACCTCCAACGGTGGAATCTGGTATTCCATTAGATGTAGATGGTGATGCATCTACTGAAAATATACTTTTTCCAACTCTGTATGGGAATGAAATTCATAGAAAAAGTTGGGTTCTAAGAAGACTCTAACTGCCGGCAACACTCTGATAGACACGACTTTGAGCCAACTTTGAGCCCATATAACTCGGGTTATGCGAAAGATATCAAAAAGCGGTCAACTGACAAATTATTTTTGATATTTATTTTTGAATATAAAAATCAAACCTTCATCATATTTGTAGTCGTCAATTTGCTCCATCTTGAAGAAAAAATCTAATCTAGGGTCCACTAGCATTCCTTGTTCATTCATTAATTCTGAAAGAAACGTTAAGAGCTCATTTTCTATGACAAAAAGGAAGTAGAAAGAACGAAATGAGTAATAAGAGCAGAAACCCAAAAGTGCACAAAATCAGAAAATTATCTTTTGGATGATTTCAAGCATTTGATATAAAGTCTGAAGAGAAAAAGAAGAAAGAAGGATATGTAGGTTGTAGTCTATTTAGAAATTGCTCTCTGCATTTCATTATGAGCCGCCCGTTTCTATTGGAAACGACGACGGGGGAGAAGCGTTGCAGCTCATTTGGGTGATATTGACGTAGAACTCGTTTTCTCTCCCAAGGGAGACGATGACAAAACTTGTAAGGGATTTTTTGGTGTAACTCATTGAGTCATTGAGAACTCTGATTCTAAAAAAACGAAGACAGCATTGAGTTGGATAATGAGTGGGTGAGAAAAGTCTGAACAAACATGTCAAAATTTTTCCAAAACGGATAAATGGATATAGATGAAAAAAGAAGAAAAAGAAGGAGAAAAGGAAGAGAGATAACAGAAGGATTGTAGTGAGAAAATGTGATAAATTGATGAGAAAAAGTGTGACATAGTAGTTCCAAAGCGCGTAATTTTGATCAATGGTTTACGGTTCAGGTTTTGCTATTTTAATGGATGAGTTTGAGTTAATGTGAATGAGTACTCATCAATATAACCTTTTTAACATTTTGGAGCTATACTTCAACTTTAAAACAAAAAATACTAGAACATTGAATTTAAAGAGATAAATTATTATCAAACCACAAGACCTTTTGATTTTGGCACAACTAAAATGTCGTAGTTGATCTTCAGAATGGTCATTCTTTAAACAGATTCTTCTACAACTTTCTTTAGTTTATGGTTTACTAGTTAGTTTATTAGTTTATGATACACGGAAATTTTGCTATCTTCATACTAAGTAAACCGGGACCTGTCATAGTTTCTTTTATGATCAATATTTTCAAACTAGCTAAATTAGCTATAATAGAACTCAACGAGTACTGCAAATGTTAGTATATTTTAAATACTGTATTTCGTCTATGAACTCGACTCGTTTTGTCTGTAACTGTGCTCATAGGCAAGATTAAGTATTTTTAATAGTATCGCTTTGTAGAACCCCTCGAATTCTATCAAATCTAATTTAGTTGGTCCAAAAGTGTGGATTCTAAGAGAAACTCTGGCAGGGCCCGCGTTGGTCCGCCAGAGGCCCGTTTGCAATTATGACTATCTGAAAGTTTTTGGACTTGTCCAAAAAAGGGGCGGAGCATGGCCTGGAGGTGGTATATTTTTCAACTCCGTTTCTGTTTCGATGATCAGCCCCAGTAAAAAAAGCAAAAACATTTGGGATAAATAAATCTGGACTAAAAACAAGTGTTCAAATTTTACAAAGACTTGAAGGGTTACTGTAGAACAAATGCAGTTTTTGAACATGAGAAGTGCAATTGGGACAACAGATAGTGCACAAAAACAACAAGTGCACAACTCGAAAACTAAAGTACTAAATAGATTTCTCTTTGGTGAAACGATCGAGAATCAGAGAGCGAACGAAAGAAAAAGAAGGGGTCTTGAGAATGGAACAGGTAGAAAAAAAGATAAAATTCGTACCGAAACTGGACATGAAAAAGATACAAAAAAGGAAAGAGAGAGAGAGAGAGAGAGAGAGAGAGAGAGAGAGAGAGAGAGAGAGAGAGAGAGAGAGAGAGACCACGTGTTTGTGTAAAACAGTGATCGAAAAGAAACGACAATCTTCTCCCCTTTTTGATTGCCGTTTTTGTTCGAGAAAAGACTGTTTTCATATCAACCACGTTTTGTCAGTAAAATGCAGAAAATGAGATGGGAAAAAAAAGAAATAGGGGGTGGAGTTTTTAGTTTGGCCAACTTCATGGGATAGGGAGGAGTTTTGGTTGGAGTCGTGGGAAAGACTGCTAGATTCATGTGGAACTGGTGCTTCAGGAAAACAAGACTATAGAAGATTTACTGATGAAGATACTTCAATCATTATGTTTTCGGTTCTATTTCAGTCTATATTTCATTGTTCAAAGTGTTCCAAAACCTGTAATAGAACGCCACTCTAACTTCCAAAGTTGAGCCAATTTATCTCAATTTCTGTGCACGATATGAAAAATGTGTCACTCGGCATAATATTTTTTATATTATGCTTAACAACTTATTAGTTGACTACTTTTAAATACCTTCAACAGGAACCGAGAAAAATTGGCTCAAATTTTGGAGCCTTACTATTGCAGGTTTTACGGTAATCCAATTTTTGTAGAATTCCAAATAAAAACTATAAAGGAAATTTCCTAGGAAACGAAAAGATGTGTCAAATTAAATCTCACCAAAGTACATATTTTAAGATCATAAGTTCTCATATGGATTAGTGGTTTTCGTGAAATCAAGTCTGAAAAATCCAAGACGGAAGCCAGGGAAATATTTCTCACGGCTGGCAGGACAGAGGAATTTCTTCTGCCCGATTTTCAAAGACGAAGTTGTACTAATTTATATTTCGGCTACAAAACATGAAAAAAAGAGATTTCAGATGTTATATGTTGCCAAAAAGAGAATCAGAATACTTAGATGCAATGACGTCGGATTAGAAGCACACATCATGTTCCACCTCACATCTGAGGAGGCTCACTCATTTTCTCACGAGCTAATATTAGCTGAATGACGAACTACAGAATCATAGACTAGCAGAAATTTCGTTAAATCAAGACAAATTTAATCTTTGCCCCCACATTTTTATCATCCTTTTTTTAATGAGCAGCTGAAAATTTTGGAGAAAAAAGGTTTTTGTTGAAGCAAAAGAATTTTGGAAAAGAGAAAGTGAAAAGAGCACACAATAGGATGGCTCTGAAAATTATTCACAAAGTCTTTTGCGTGCATATATGAAGATGAATGAGAAAGGAAGAAGAATACATGCGCTTTTTTCTTTTCTTTTGACGGTCGGGGACCATTATCAAAAACAAAATGACGACGGTTTGATGGTGTTGTGACGCATGATAAGGAATACTGTGAACCATGGAAAGAGTTGAATTTGGAGGAATAGTACGGTTTGAGTATAAATAAAATATGAAAACGGTAATTAGGTTTTTTCAAATGCGAAAAAATTGGTTTGAACCCACAACAACAACAACTACAGTAACCTAAGAATAATTTCATTTTCAGGGCCGTTTATCTCGATTTTCGTACGTTTTCAGCCCATTTTTCACTATTAAAACCTGTAATTTTCCACTTTGTTAAAGGTGAAGTACCGTAAATACTGTAATAGAATGCCACCCTAACTTTCTACTTTTGATATCTTTTAACTTGGTTCCTGTAAAAGATATCAAAAGTAGTAAACTGAAACTATATATTTCGAATTTCGTTAAACATTTTGTCAGTTTGCCACTTTTTGATATTTCTTACAGAAAATGAGATATATGGGCTCAAAGTTGACTGTTTGGTGGGCGTCCAATTAGAGTGTTTATGGTAACAGAAAACTCGATTAAAAGCAGTGAAGAACAATAAAATACATAAACACAAAAAATGAAATTATTTCTAGGTTACGGTAGATGTCGTTGTTGGATCTTCTGCCGATTTTGTTGTACCTCAATAATACTAACTGATAGCGACTTTTCCCATAATTTCATTTTAAAAATGATTCCTAGAATCAAAAAAAAACTTTTTCAAAAATTTGACGACTTCATTTCTACTTTAATGACCTTTTTTGGAAAAAAAAGGCCGAAAAAGAAAAAAGAGACATATGTTTGAGGTGGTGAAATACGAGCACTCATTCTCTCCCTCTTCCTCTGACACGTCGTTTCCATCGAAAAAGAGAGAGAAGGAGGAGCAAAAGTAAGAGGAATTAGGGCGAAATAGTGTTGAAACGGGAGCGGCGCAGACTTGGAAAATAATGTAGGTGATTGTCAAATACCACGGGAAGTTGAGAGATGCCAGAGATAAAGAGTACATATATGGGAAAGAGAGAGAGAGAGAGAGAGAGAGAGAGAGAGAGAGAACGACGAGAAGACTCCTGGATAATACTCTATTCATTGAAATTTGAAATGCCATATTACCATTTGAGCATAAAAACCTAAAAGAGGAAATAAAAAAGAAAAGAAATGATGATGAAGCGGATTAAGTTGTGGCTACTGGAAATGAGTAAGGAATGAGTAAGAGTTCTGAGAAGAAGCCACCTTCTTATATTACTCATGCTTCTAGACACTCTCAGACAACAACTACATTCTATTCGCTTAAATCAGAAAACAGAGCTAACTCAGTGAGTACAAATTGTTATTCGTAGTTCAATGATCTGCCATATAAAGTGGGAAATACGTTTTTTAAAGCTTTGTGTTTAATCATCCTAATCCGGAACCTCCACGAAGGGATCTTATAGACTTAACCAAATTTGTTTGACATCACTTTACTTTTAGAATTAGAACTAGAAATGTAGTAACTAACAGGAACCGTGTCTTCAATCTTAAATGGGAACTCAGACCAAATTATATTTTTTTGAAATTTTTGGTACTAAAATATTCCCAAAGTTTCAATTCAACAGCTCTCATTTTCGTCCAATAAGGTCGCGGGAATCTTAGTCCAAGGCCACTGTGTGCGCTGTTATTCATGCAGATTTTCAAAAGTTTTCGCCGTTTCCGGTGGTTCTTTTCTGTGGTTTAAGAAAAAAAATCGGGAGCCACTTGGGTCCAATTCTGTGTAGCTGATTGGAATGATACATACATTTATCTTGTGATAAATTGAAACCGATTCTTCTGTAAAAAGGAAGGGTGGATCGAAAAGAAGAAGGAGATACTCAATGACATGTGACTTCTTTTTTTTTGCAAATATAGAATATCCCTTTGAAAACAAAATCAGAGAACGAGTGCAAAGAAACATCACTGCCCTACCCCTACATCAAAACAGTTCAATGAGCAGAATAGATATCAAAAGAATAGGAGTACTGCAGACAGTCCCTACCTATTTTCGTACTTCCTCTTTTGGATTTGCATTTTAAAAATTATGGAAACGTTCTACAAACGTTTTGAAACCGTTTTACTATT